AGGGGTCCGTACTGGGACCATATTTGTTTTCCCTTTACGTACACCCACTTCTCAATCTGCTGAACAGCTTTGCGGGTGTCACAGCAGACATGTATGCGGACGACCTCTCTATTATCGTTAAGGGGCAGTCCCGGGAAGACGCCATTCCCACTGCCAACACGGTTCTTAAAAAACTGCATGTGTGGAGTCAGGAAAATGGCCTGGCCATTAACCCGTCAAAGTGTGAAGCCGCTTGGTTCACACTCTCCACGCATACGGAGTCAGATTATGATCGTGAAGGAAGGTGGCCTCTGGTAGTGGCTGGATGTGAAATCCCAGTCATGACCATGGGGGCATCGCGAACCACGAAGCTTCTTGGCATGGATCTCGATCCACGACTGACGCTAAATGTGGCGGCCACCAAGCAATGCGCTGCCACATCGCAACGGATATCGCAGCTACGCCGCATTGCACATAAAGAGGCGGGACCATCTCCACATGACCTACGCACGTTCGTCATTGGATATGGTGCTTCCAAATTACGCTATGGCAGCGAGCTCATATGGGCAGTAGCGACGGATTCAGCGAAGAATGAGATGCAAAATGCGTACACAACTCTGGCGCGCATTGTCAGCGGAGTTCCGAGCACTGTCGACCCGGAATCCGCGCTTCTAGAGGCTAATATGCCGCCGCTCCATGTCCTTTGCCTGCGCGCGCGGCTCTCCATATTTGAGAACACATGCGCTTGTCAGATGGACTGGATGCGGAGACCTCCGCCCGAGCCACCGCCTCGCGCAGGTTTCCGCATCTCGCCATTATCTCGGGACGAGCTATATGCCTTCGTAGACGCATACACAAAGGACTATGGCATCACCCAGAGCTCACCACACGAAGAGCGGTTCTTTCGCAGCTCCATTCCTCCCTGGTTTGCGGCCTCCGCTCACCGGGTCACCATTGGCGTGGAACTTCCGATAGACCCCTCAATAACAGACGAAGAAGAGCTGATAAGGGAAAAGCGCAGAGTCAGCGAGGAGGCTCTAGCGCTGCACAGCCATCGTTCGTGGATACTCGCGACGGATGGCGGTGTCGACGTTCCCAAGTCAGCCGGGGTTGGAATACTGCTTTCATCCCTCAATTCATTGGAGATAATAGAAAAGGCCAGTATAAACTGCGCTGCACGCCCATGCAGCTACAGGACGGAATCCCGTGCGCTGCTTCTAGCCCTAGAAAGGCTGATTATCCCTCGTATCCAACACAGGCATAAAACCCTGCTTGTGGTTGCAGACAGCCAGTCCCTTCTAGTGGCCCTCAACAAGGGTCCGCTCAGCCAGACAGACTGGACGGAGGACCAGATCTGGCAGCGTCTCTTGACACTGACGTGTGCTGGCTGGTCCGTGTAGCTGCAGTTTTGTTACGGGCATTGTGGGGTACATGCTAACGAGCTTGCAGATCAGTATGCGACGCAGGCTATGGAGACTGGACAATACACGGAGCAAGGAATCGCACCTTTATGGCACACGGATCTGCTGACATGTTTTGCTACCCAGCTCACCAACAAGTGGCGTAGTACGATTCGTCAAGACACTCATCGCTACTTGCTTTGCGGCACAAGGCCATCAGATCTCAGCGGTAAGGACCTGATCACCCAGGAATTTCTTCACCGTCAAGAACTGGTTCACCTCGCTAGGGCCAGGTGCGGGGAATCTGAGCTCTGGGGCCGAGTATACTGGGCTGTGAGAGATTGCACGAACCAACGCCGTTTCTGCAACATCTCACCGGAACAGTCTGCATATATGCGCTCCAACAACGATCCAACTGCACCGGGGATGGACACTGTTCCCCCGTTGGCAAGGGATGAAGGCGTCTCTCCAGTAAGGAGACCGACCGTCAAACGCCGTCGGAAGGAGAAATGTCCGTACTGCGATTCTATATTGACGGGATTCTCGAATCTCGTCAGTCACTGTCGGTAATTCCATCCGAAACATCCTCCACCGCTTCCCGAGCTCAAATGCGATTTTTGTGATATGGTTTTCCCCACACGGAGAAGCACCGCACAGCACAGAAGCCGCTGCGCACACAACCCAGACGCCACACGACATCGAAACAGAAGTGCCAGGAGGCGATCTCTGCTACCACAGGATCAGCCTGCTTCCACAAGCACGCCAATTGGCCCGCAGGAAACCTTGCACCATCTGCTTCTAGAATGTCCAGGCACCTTGGCTGTGCGCCAACGGCTGGGCATTGAACGGGACCTTCGCCACGGAAAGTTCTCTCAATGGCAGTTGCTTCACAGCAGGAAACCTTTGTCGTTGCTCGACAACCTCCTCGGCACTCAGATGGCATTGTATAGCTAGATGCGCTGGTAAGAGTAGAAAAAAATATTGAAATTCCTTTTGGTTACATGAGCCGGGATGTTGTTTACATTAATAACCACATAAAATTTACGATAAAGTATTCTTTAGAGGAAGTAAGGAACGCTAATGGGGAATTCGTGCAGAAGTATCGAATATTATCCTTTGTTGGTAAGCCATACTCCTTGGATTATCGTCCCGAACATGTCTGTGAAGCATCGTGGACGGAAAAGGATGTGAACTCTCTAAATCCCCTGCCTGTCACAAATGATCGTATTATTTGGAGCTATAGTGTTTCGTGGATACGAACTGAGGATCAATGGTCCTCTAGGTGGGATGTTTATCTAAATATTCATGGGAGGAATATTCATTGGTATTCTATTATTAATTCTACGCTTTTTGTTGTATTTCTTGCACTATTTATTGCTGCATCCATGATTCGTATTGTTCGACGAGATCTAAGTAGGATGAATGTTATTGACCTTGAAGAAAATGACGTGCCAGATTACACAGGTTGGAAGTTGCTAAATCGTGATGTTTTTCGTCCGCCATCACACGGATGGCTTCTCGCCTGTTTTACTGGAACTGGGGGGGTGCAGCTTATAGGGATGACATTTACTGTGCTCATTTTTGCCTCTCTAGGGGTTTTTTCGCCACAAAGTCGCGGCAGTTTATTTACTGCACTTCTGGTTTTTTTTTTGCACTGTTGGGCTTGTATGCTGGATATGCATCCGCAAGATTACTCAAACTGTGGAATATGGGAAAGTGGAAGTATGTTTTTGCTACTGGAACACTTATTCCTGGAGTGGCTTTCGGAACCTTTTTTATGATGGATTTTCTGTTACGATCACAATCAAGTAGTGCTGTTGTTCCGCTGTTTTCTTTAGTCATCGTTATGGGAATGTGGCTCTTTGTCAACGTTCCTTTGGTTTTTCTTGGTGCCATAATGGGATTTAGGCGAAACACAATATCAGTTCCTTCGGTTTATAGCCAAATAACACGTCATGTACCTTCGCAACCTTGGTATAACAAAAGAATGTTTGTGATATTTTCCGGTTTCCCTCCCTTTTTTGGCGGTTTTCATTGAAGTCTACTTTATTCTTGAAGCCCTCTGGTTAAATGGGTACTATTACGTTTTTGGATTTTTGCTGCTTGTGGCCGTAATTTTGCTCTTGACCACGTCAGAAATAACGATAGTCATGGTATATCTTTCCTTATGTGCCGAAGAATATCGCTGGTGGTGGAGAACTTTTCTTATAGGAGCAAGTTTAGGATTGTTTTTTTTTTTCCTGTATTCTGTTTTTTTATGCCATTGTGGGAAGTTTTCATATGGTTGGTTTTGGCCCATTGGTGATGTATTTGGGATATATGGCCTTGTTTAGCCTTTTATTTGCCGTGACGAACGGAACTATTGGCTTTTTTGCTTGTTTTTGGTTTGTACGCTATATATATACCGATTTAACAAGGCGGATTGGGGAGCGAGGGGGAAATTGCGTTTGAGAGGAGTTTTATTTTTAGCGATAGCATGAACTTGTTTGTTGGCTGTTTCCCGAGACAATAACTGTATTGAAATTTTATGAGCAATGGTGTTTGCGATTATCAACCGATCATTTTTTTCTTTTTTTAGTACTGTACTGATCCCTCTGTTATAGATGTGTATTTTTAAGGGCTATTTCACCCCTCTGATGTCTGTTTTTCTTTTTTTTTTTTGTTTCTTTTATTTCTTTTTTTCCCATAGAATTTTATGAACATTTGCATTTCAAGAAATGCAGGATTATTTGCGGGAGATTGAAAGTACATTGGCGAGGACAAATGAAAGAAAAAGGCACTTTGCTTTACAGATTAGCAAAACGTAATGCCGAAGAAGAACGTCTTGCGCGGTTGGGAGTGCGTATTATCCCAACCAATCCTCTTGATGTATTAGATACCCGGGTTGTTAAGTATGCCCTTTTAAAGCTGAAACGGGATATTGGTGATAAGATTGCTAGAATGCGTAATCCGCAATTGCTTAGTATTGAAACTCATGGAGAAGTCGTTATCCGAGCTAAAAATGATGAAATCAATCATCTTATTGCCAAAAAAAAAAAAAAAAAATTTCATGGGAAAGACGATTAGTAGCACTTACTGGGGAAGAATATAAGGTGGCATCATCTAGAAAACTATACTTTGGATGTGCAAAGGAGCTTCCAGAGGCTCAAGTTGAAATGAGCACGGCTGAGGAAGTTCTTACAGGGGATGCATTGGATGTATCAGAGCCCGAGTCCTTAAGTTCACAGTCTTCGGAAGGTATGGCGTCTTACTTTAAAAGTAGCCACCTGGAACAGCTTGCCGCGAGTGAATCCGATGACCTTTTGTGTGGTATTGAAAAGACCGCAGAGCATAGTTTAAGGCTTGAACATGGAAAGAATAATGGAAATTTATCTCTGAAAAGGTTTCATGAGGAAAACTCTTTGTATGTTGTGGATGTTGATTTGCTCCCTGAAGAAGAGTATCGGCGCAGGATTTTAGATGCAAAAGGGGAGCTGCTGAAAAAAAGACTAGGAACCCTAAAGAAATAAATTTCTGATGAATGCCCTCATTATCTTCATTATTATTATCGTTTTTGTTGTTGTTGTTTTGTTTGTGTGATCACCCGAAATCCAATAAGTACAGATATATTTTCTTTCTTGCATGCTTTTTTCTTTTTTTTTTCTTTTTTTTTTCTTTTTTTTTTCTTTTTTTTTTCTTTTTTTTTTCTTTTTTTTTTCTTTTTTTCATCATGTGTGCTCTGGCCCCCAGCGCTCCAGTTTAATGCAGGAAGAGCTCCCAGAGTGTTTTCGTGTTGTTTCACAGCAAAGAACTTGTGGCGATGAAGCTGTTGGAACGGCTCTGGAAGATATTCACAGATTTGTATTTGAGAAGAGTCAGAGGAACATGGAGGCGTTGTCACCTTCTGAACTTCTTTCATCTTGTGATTTGGCGGTGAAAAAGGTGGGGGGACAACTGGGTAAAAGAAACCCATTGGGCACAGCGCATCTACCCATGGGAGTGGTCATTGTTGAGATGATTGCACGCCTAACTCGAATTTTGTTCTGGGGTATTACTGCATGTTCCGAGATGTCTTTGCCACGTAAACTGAAGATGATTGAGGAAGACGGAGAAGAATTGGAGGAGGTACTTCTGCCGCGTTTTTTCTTGAAGCTCTCAGTGAGTCCCATCATTCTGCGAGATGTATTAATGAAAGCCCCTTGGGACGTCTTTTCGCGTCTCTATGGCACAGAGAGCGCCCTCCCAGGGGAAGTCAGAGAGTGTGTCCCTGTGGAAGTCAGATCTGTTCTCAGCAGTCTTAAGGTGAATTTTGGATGTGACTTTCTTTTTCATATTTGTGTTCCGGTAGATTTGACAGGCTCGCATCGGGAGGCGGTCAACACTGCCGCCGAGGCCATCGCTTCTCATATGGCCACTGCATTTGATTTGGGCGGTGGTCTCTCAGTGGCTGTGGAGGCAGATTGCGATAATAAAAATATTGGAGACGACACAAATCATCATTTGTTTCGCGATAAAAGTTGTACACGTTCTTCCCTTCTCGGCAGGAGCACTTCCCGTTCCGAGTCTTGGGATTTTAAGACGGGTCGAAAACCCCTTTTGTCGTCGGGGGAACGGTCACAATTTACGCAATTTATTCATTCCCGCCACTGTTTGCCTGCTTACAAGCTAACTAGAAGAAGGTCGGGAGTACTGCCGGGGCCAGGGGCGGGTATTGAGTGTGCAGATTACCCCATCAATGGAGCTGGTCATTATTCCCCTGCTACTGAGGAAAGCCACGTCTCCTCAGAGGAGCACGACGGCGAGACAGAAGTGTTGGCACCAGAAACCCCAGTAAAGAAAAGGGTGCGAGCCGAAAAAGGAGTTGTGCCACCATCGCCTTCGCGTCCCACTCGCGAATAAATGGCTTTCTTTCTTGACTCCTGGCTGACGGAGTCGAAATGATGGCGGTTGTAATGTTTCCTTCATTTTTTTTTTTATTTTTTATTTTTTATTTTTGCTTCCTCCTCTCTGAGGGGTGGAGATGTTTCACTTCTCTGGAACGAACGCCTTGGTTTTCATTGTGTACTGTATATATATATATATGTACACTCTTTGCATTTGCACAACCCCGTCACTTTTTTTTTTTTTTTTCTCTTTAGTTGCTATCTGTTTGATAGGAAATGCACGTCTAAAGAGGTGAAGGACTGCGGAAAGCGACGAGTAGCCCGGCTGATGAGAAGAAACGAGTTGACGTGGAATTAGTTAAGATACGCTCAAAATTCCGAAACACGGCAGAAATGACCACTTAAGATCGAAGAAAATAGCGTCTGTAAGTTGATGTTCATCGCAATGCTTGGATACCCCGTGGAATTTGGCCATATGGAGGGTGTGAAGCTTCTGGCTCTAAAATCCCCGGCGGAGAAACTGATCGGCTACCTCTCTGCCACCGTGTTCCTCCACGAAAATCATTCCCTGTTGACTTTAGCTACACATATGATCTACAAGGATCTTTTGTCAGAGCAGGAGTTTAATATAAACTTGGCACTGACAGCGATTCCCAACGCGGGTGGGAAAGATTTTGCGGAGGTCATGTCTTCAGGGGTGAAGAGTATTCTTTTAAGTGATCGTTGGAATGTACATGTTCGCAAGAAGGCAGTGCTGACGTACTTACGCATATACAGAAAGTATCCCGATGTTGTGGACCTTGGTGACGTTATCCCTGTTGTGACAGATCTTCTTCTTAGTCCCCTGCTTGGTATGAGTGGTTGTGCTGCCGTCTTTCTTACGGGTTGTCTTAACAAAAGCAATTTTCATCTTTTCCATTCTGTACCGAGTCGAGTCATTGAACTCCTTGGAAGGATTATACTTGAAAAGCAAACTGAACCGGGATATGTCTACTACGGTGTTCCTGCTCCGTGGTTGCAGGCAATGTCCATGCGGCTTCTTCGAGGCTTTCCAGTTCCTACAGATAGTTTGCTGAAGGAAAAAATTCTTCTTGTCTTGCGGCGGATTGTGCAGGCGACTGACAGAGTGCTTCGGGACGCGCAAACCCAACAGAAGCAAAAGGGCACTATGAATCGTGTGAGTGCAATGAATGCCGTATTTTCTGAGGTGGTTTTACTTGTTGTCCAGTGGGATTTGGACTCTAGGCTTCATAATGAGTGTCTGGATGTTCTTAGTGGGTTTGTGATGGAAAAGAAAGATTCCAACTTGCGTTATTTGGGGTTTATTTTGCTGTCACAATTGTGCTCTGCAAGGAGCTCCTACAATGACTACAGGACATACTGTAGACAGTATCAACCACAGGTGGTTGTGGCTCTTCATGACCCTGACGTTTCCATCCGTACGAAAGCGTTGGATGTCACTGTGTGTATGTGTGACGCTGAGACTTTTACGGAGGGTATCGGGGCCCTGCTTTCTTACCTCCCCATTGCGGATGGACTCTTTAAGGAGAATCTTGTACTTGCCATTTCTCACTTGGCAGAGGTGTACTGTGTCGACTACGGGTGGTACGTTGACACCATTCTCTCTGTCATCGCCCACGCCGGCAGTCTTACCCCGCAATTCATCATTTACCGTGTCGTAAATGTTATCATTAATCACAAATATGTTCAGAAAAGGGCGGCCACAACTTTGTTTAGTTTGTTGAAGATTCGTAAGACTGTCCCTGAGGTCCTGTTGCGTGTCGCCGCCATTGTTTTGGGCGAATTTGGGTATCAAATTGCAGTGAATGCGGAAAGCACACCACTCATGCAGGTGACCGTTCTTCAAAACCACCTTAAAGACGCCTCGGAGGAGACTCAAAGTCTCTTGTTAAGTACGTTTGTCAAGCTTTACAATTACTACGATATTGCGGTGCGTGAAAAAATACTGAATACACTTTGTCAGTATAGAAGCAGTTTCAATGTTGAGCAGCAGCAACGCGCCATGGAGTACGTCGGGCTCATCGAACTAGGCAATGATGAACTCCTCCAGAAGGTGTTGGAGCCATTGCCGAGCTTCAACGAAGATGATTTTTCGCTTGTGCTACCTGGGCGCGCCCAGCGAGAGGAAGCGAATGTTGCCGTGTCTTTGAACATCTCTTGGGATAAAAGAGAGAAGTTGGTCGCCCCAAGGGCAGACAAGGAGCCTGATAAATTGAGCAGCTCTGATCTCCTTGTGATCAATCGCGATGTCCTCTTAAATTCCGGTGGTGAGTCCGATGTGGAATTGGAGGCGTTGTTTACGGTCAATTCAACGATGCAATTGGATAGAATGGCAAAAGAAAATGAACTGTTACGGTGACGGTTTATTTTTCTGCTTGAAGAACCGTCTGGTGTCCTTTATTCCGATGAGTTTGTGGAATTGCACTGTGAACAGCAGTACCGCGGAGCCGATGCCCGTGTCACAGTCACAGTTCGAAACAAGATGGCAGTGGGACTGGAGAAAGTACATGTGGAGACCACTGGAGTAGATATTTGGCTGCTGTTGCAGTCAAGGAATGAACGCGGGGATATCGCCTCTAGTGGGGTTCTACGAGTGGAATTTGTTGCCAGGTCTTGGGCACCATTTAGGGAGGCCCCTACTGTACGCCTCTCCTACAAGAGACCGGGAGAATGCACCACGGAGACGAATATTCTTGCCCTGCCCATTGTGACCACACGGTTTTTGTCTCCGTACGATGAGAAGGATGAAATGGCGTACGACACGCTGTGCAAGCAAATGAATTCTGCTTCAGTTCAGACCCGACGCCTATCCGCGGGATGTGTCACTCACAATGGAGCAATTGAAGAGGCATTAAAAGGGATGGGATTCTGTGTCATTCATCCTGTTGATAGCACGGAATGGAAAGCCATGGCAGCCCATGCCACGCAATCTCATGGCATTTTGTCTTACGAGCCTGCAGTGGTGAAGGTATTTAGTCACGCCCCCGGGGCATTTACTGCCCAAGTCATTACCAAGAGTCATGTACTCAGCGCTGCCATAAGTGAAGTTTTGGAGCAAGCTTTGCTTAGCAAGGAGCAAACAGAGTGTGAAGAGAAGTTCAGTGTTTTTGGAGGGAATTTAACCACTTTACTTTCAGGAGTTACCTGTTTTTTTTTTTTTTTGTGTATCTCTCTTTCCCACACTTTTTCGTTTCCCGCGCACTGTTGCGCCTTATTGCTTTTTACGCTCCTACGGTTGACTGTTTCTTTCTTGTCTCTTCCCTTTTTGTGGTTTTTTGCGCCCTAAGTTACGTCCACTGCATGTATGGACGGCAATCCCGAACACATCTTGATGCGTGCACGGATATATGCGCACATCTTTTCACGTGCTAGTGGATATTGCTGCACCCCACTCTCTTCTTTTCTCTTGCTTTTTCCTTTTTCCCATTTCGTGTGCGGACCAGCTCACCGAATTCAGCAACGCTACTACTACCAATAATGATAATGCGCCGTGTGCCGTGCACCGTGTTGTTCCTTGCGCTGTTGTGCTGCTTCTGCTCGCACGTGTACGCGACAAAGGATGTTGATGATGACATGGTGCGTGTGAGTGCGGAAGTGTTGTGTGGAAGCGGAAATTCCAGTGCGCGCTGGCGCTTAACAGGCGAGAGCGAGTGGAAAGTTTGTGGTCCTGATAATAATTCCGACGGTCGAGATGCAATGAACGAGGAGGATCCCTCTGCGATGGTCTGCAGTGTGGCGAGACCGAGCTGCATGGATTCCAATGCCACGAGTACTTCCGGAAAGAAGGAGGAATTCACCTTCAATCTTGACCTGCTGACGAGCAAGACCACCGAACTGTACAAGCGATGGGAAAGTATCCGTGCTGATTCGGCCAAAAAAACCGGCACGAAAAGTGAAGGCAATGCGGACAACACACGTCCTGGCAACAGCAGAAACGAATCCACCGCTGTGTCCTCACCGGCCAAAGACACCGGCATGCAAAGTGAAAGCAATGCGGACAGCAGTGACATCATCACCGTGCGGGTGCACACACCACCGTTGATGTTGCTGCTGCTGCTGCTGGTGACTGCCACTGCCACCGCGTGCTGAGGTGTAAGCGTCATGGCAGAGATGTTCCATACCCTGTGGGTGCTCATTTTGCTTGGTGCCCTTGTGGGCCAAACTCTCGCCTGCTCTTGAAGGCTTTTTTTCTTTCTTTCTTTCTTTCTTTTCTTTCTTTTCTTTCTTTTCTTTTTTTCCTTTTTTTTTTGCTTCTTTATGTTGCTTTTTAACCTTATGCGGTGTCTCATGGATGACGCACCCTCCCTCTTTTTTTACTTCTGCCACCTACACGCGGTGCCGGCTCCGCTGCTGTGCGTCCCACGGACTGCACAAAAGGAGGATTGGAAGAACAGGCCGGAAGCCGCATGGAATGTGAGGGTTGTTGTGTGGGCTGGTGGAGGAGTGCGTTCTTTTCTCATGTTTAATTAATTATTTGTGTGCGGGCAATGTACGCCTACACCCATTTTCCTGTGTTTTGGGACACGTGAAATGAAAACTTTTGCTGAGAGAGTTTCTTTTTTCTTTTTTTTTCGCCTCCCGGGAGTTCTTCTGAACTCTCAACTTTTTTCTGTTTTCTTTTTTAAATTTTTTTTTGTTTTTTTCATATTTTATTGTTTTTGTTTTCTTGCAAATCATTTCCCTTCTTTTTCTTGTTGCTTTAGGGCAACCACCATGGACGGTTTTTTCTTTTCCACTTTTTAATTGTTTCTTCTGCACTCTTCCTGTGAGGGGTGCCGTGTGTTTCCCGCCCAACTGCTCCACTCGCACACCCACCGACACGCTCATGACGACGGCCCTGTGCGCCTCGCCTGCTGCACGCATGAGGAGGGGCCGCGACGAACGGCGCGCTGAGGGGCGGAGCACACATTTCTTTCCCTCTTGTTTTGTTTTCTTTGCGGTCAGGGCGGGCAGACACCCGCAGCGCCACACACACAGCCACACCCTGCCGCCGTG